TGAACTAGGCTCCAGGTGCAATTCTCTTCCAGTGCACGAAGCTCTTCTTTCATGGCTTGGTTCCATTGTGGGAGAAGAAGAGCTTCTTGAAAGCTTCTTGGTTCATAGTGCTTATCAATTTCACTGAGAAATGTAGCATGAGATGTTGAGAACTTACTAAAGCTGATACATTCATTGATTGGATGTCGTGAGGCATATGTAACATAGTCCTGCAACCTAACTGGAGGTTTTCTGATTCGAGGAGGATTTCTTTTAATCACCTGAGACTCTGTAGAGGGTGGAGAATGATCAGAGTAGGGCTCGTCTTCACTCTCACTGGCAGTAATTTGGTCAGTTTGAACTTCTTCACAATCTGGACTTACACTGACTGATCTATTTTCCAACATCGGATAATTAAAGTTTTGAGGAAGTGGGAACATGTCTACTAAATCCTCCCCCTGACTTGTAAAATAGGGATAGTCTTCTTCGAACTTCACATCTCTTGAAACTGTGCACTTCTTAGTGACTGGATTGAAGCACTTGTATCCCTTTTGAGTAGTCGAGTATCCCATAAACACACACTTGGCTGCCCTGGCATCTAGTTTGTCACGGTTCAAGGTTTGGATGTGAACAAAACACACACAACCAAACACCTTGAGATGTGTCAAATCTATTTTCCTCCCCTTAAGAACTTCATATGGAGATTTAAACCCTAGCACACGACTTGGAAGTCGATTGATGAGATAAGTGGTAGTAAGGATGGCAAACGACCAAAATTTCTTTGGAACGTGCATGTGAACCATGAGAGCACGAGTTTTTTCCAAGAGATCTCTATTTTTCCTCTCGGCTACTCCATTTTGTTGGGGAGTCCCCACACAGCTGGTTTGATGTATGATACCCTGAGAACTTATGTATTGAAGCATATTGTTGGATAGAAATTCAGTGCCATTATCTGACCTTAAAACCTTAATGTTTGATTGAAATTGCGTTTTAACATGCATGTGAAAGTCTTTGAAAATGGTAGGGACTTCACTTTTTGATTTCATAAGATATAGAAAACTTGTTCGAGAGAAATCATCAACAAATAGAACAAAATATTTAAAACCTTCCATTGATTCAGTTGCAGGTCCCCAAACATCGGTGTGTACCATTTCAAAAGGTTTACTTGTCCTAGACATTGAATTACCAAAAGGTAGCCTAGTAAACTTAGAAAATTGACAAGTATCACAAGTAGGATAAGGGTTACAAAAATTTGGAAACAGTTTCGACAAGACAAGTTCAGAGGGATGAGCTAATCTCCTATGCCAAAGTTGGTTTTCATCTATGGACTTTGATTGAGCTTGAAGAGCCTGAGTGAAACATGCATTCTTGCACAGGTAGTAAAGGCCATTTATGAAGACCCCTTCACCAATCATCTTCATGGTGAGAACATCCTGAAACATCACTTTATTTGGTGAGAAAATAGCACGGCAGTTTAGGGTGTTGGTGATCTTTCCAATTGACAAAAGTTGAAAAGGAAAGGTTGGTACATAGAGGGCAGTGGAAGGTGTTTTTTGAGAGAGTAAGTTTATTTCTCCTTTTCCCAAAACTAAGACATTTTTTCCATTTGCAACAGACACATGTGAGGGGCTTGAAAATTTTTTAAAATGATGTAAATTTGTAACTTTGTTTGTCATATGATCTGTGGCGCCTGAATCAATTATCCAACAATCAGTTTCAGTACTAGTTAATAGGGCAGTAGTAAAGGCTTTGAGTATACCTGATGCTTCTCCCTTTGGAACTTTCTCATTTCCAGCAAGAAATCCGGCAAATTGTCCCAACATAGCTGTGTGACTACCCTCTTCATTGCCTTGACCATGTGAGCCTCCTCCGTGCCCCTTACTTTGTAGGTAAGCTGCAAATTCATTGATCAATGACAATGGATTGGCAGTGAACTCCATGGATCCTTGTGAGATAGTAGGAGCTTGAGCATTAGCAAGTTTTGCCTTGAAATGAGGTTGAAATTGTTGTGAGGACCTTGGTATCATCCTTCCATCTTTGCTGAACTTAGGCTTGAGTTCAGGATGAAGTTCCCAACACTTGTCTTCCTCATGACCAACACCATTGCAATATTTGCATTTTAGATGTGTGTTTCTTCCCTTGTATACCTTGGCTTCTGAGTTCTTGTAATTTGATGCATATGCCCGAGTCTCCGTTAATCTAGGATTGTGATCAACATTCATAACCTTCTTCCTTGCTTCTTCTCGTTGGATAGTTGCACAAACATTGTTGAAGGTAGGCAGATCTTGACTCATCAAGATGTGACTCCTTAGGTCCTCGTACTCAGAGCTCAGACTCCCTAACAGCTGATAAATTTTGTCTTCCTCAGCTCGTTTTAGGAGAATGGTAGGATCTGTGGTATGAGGGAGATATACATCCAACTCATTCCACATGGCTTTGAGACTCCCAAGGTGTTGAACAAATGCTTTCCCTTCTTGTTGAGCACTGGCAATGTCCTTCTTTAATTGGAAGACCCGTGCATAGTTGTTTTGATTTCCATACATATCCTGCAAAGCTTTCCAAAGATCATGGGCGGAATTGGAGTAGCTAAAAATTTCAGCAACATGTTTCTCCATGGTGTTGAGCAGCAATGACATGACAAGTTGATCTTTGCAGAGCCATGCATTGTATGTAGAGGAAGAACGATCTGAAGCTTCCACGCTTCCATTTACAAACCCTAACTTCCCTTTGCCTCCGAGAGCTAGTGAAACAGCTCGGGACCAAGGAAGATAATTGAACTCGTTCAAGAGAACTGAACATAAACGTTGATTGGTGTTAACCTCAACGTCTGAGGAGTTTGGAGAGAGATTGTGCCGGGTTTCCTTATCATGGTTGACAGAACTTTCTTCAGTCATGGCTTAGACTTTGAAAGAAAGAAAAAATCGCAGCAGCAAGAATTGTAGAGACAGGTTACAAATGAACCTGCTCTGATACCATATAGAAATTATAGCTTTAATTTGTGATGTATATATCATGAATTGCAATGTACAATGGTTCGGGTATATATAAGGAAGAAGACTAAGAAAAAACAAAAAAACATTCCCCTTAAAACAAGGAATAAAACAAGGAATAAAACATTCCTTAAAACATGGAATAAAACATTCCTTAAAACATTCCTTAAATCAAGGAATAAAACATTCCTTAAAACAAGGAACTCATTATTTTCAACAGATTTAGTTTCCCTTAGCAAGTTTTTGGTTTTTGAATTTCTAATTGTGTACTTCACCTAACATTAGATTGTTCATATAATAATGATATACAGATACCTATTAAGGCGCCTGGTAGAGCTCGTGGTGAACTGGAAATTACATATTTGGATGAAGAGCTTCGGTGAGTGTATTTACTGTAATTTATTGGATGAAGAATTGAAATTGACCCCATGGGATCATTACTTTTAGGTCTGAATATTAGAGTCGAACTGTGCTTTGAAAATTAGAATGAAAAAACTAAACTTGTTTATACTTTTCTCTCGGCTGAAGGAAATAAAGCATTTGTGTTGAGTATGCAAGAATGCATGCAATAGTTGAGATATACGTCCTCCATTTCTCACTTGTACTATGTCCATAGGCTAATATGCATATCCGATGCTTAGCTAATCTTCGATTATTACTGAGGTTGTATCGCAATTGAATGGAAAGTCATGACAATTATGTTTCTTATATATTGGCAGTGTCTCAAGGGGCGACAAAGGAAACTTGTTCATCTTGAAAATGGTTGATCCATCTTACCGAGTTCCTGTCTGATGTACGCAATCACATTGCAGAATTAGTAACTCATCTGGCCATCACCCTTTCTTGTTCATGACAATGGACTAAAGCGTACAAGTTTTGCCAAGACTGGATTCTGCTCCAAGCCTCAAAGTGCTCGTCGTATATGTGTTTGTATAAAATATTGTACATGTTACTGATGCATCGATCACTTCCTGCAAGCTAGGCATTTCCCGACCTTTCCATTTACTTTTTTTGTCGAAATATCATGTAAAATGCATAGTTAAGAGTTATGACCATACATTTCAGTACTTTCAAAGGATCACCTTTTATCGGAAGTGAAGCATCGCTTGCATCCGTCAAGGTAGTAATGAAAAACATAAACGACTTCAAACGATTTGTACAAATTCAAATTGTAACGAAAAGCATATATAGACATTGCAAAGTTCGATTTTTTATTTTTATTTTTTGAAGAACTGGCATCCAATAAACCAGGGCCGAAGCCAAAACGCACCAGAAGCTCACCGAGAGCAAGCTACAAAGAAAACACAACTAAAACAGAGGAGGAGGATCAACACTACAGACCCAGCCGAAAGCCACGGTCTCCCCCTCCCCAGCAAAAACAAAAAACCTAATGGGGACAAGGTAACCCATCCTTGTTCAACACATGGACCAACGAAGATGGAGGGATATTAACCCAATTCACATCGCACATCTCCGGATTACTTCTCGACGCCAAAACATGCGCCGCCAAATTGGCTGACCTTGGAACCCAAGCCCAGCGACAGACCTGAAATAGCCCCCCTAGGCGCAAAGCCCAGCGACAGTTCGATTTATTTGTTCTCCTCTTCCCATGTCCTGAGGTGAGAGAAGGGGGCCATATTTACACGTTGAAATAATGTTACGTCGTTGCCAAAAGGAGCCAAATCTTGTCCTGCACCGAAGGCTGGTTCAAAGATACAACATATAGTACGGCCTCACATTTTCTGAACCACTTGATAATATTCCTGGCCACCAGATTTCTCCTTATCCAAAAACTGAAAAATAAAATACCTACTTTAAGAAAACAAAACAAAAACAAAAAAGTGTTGGAGCCCTCAACTGAAGTTCGAAGTCCCACATATGCAATTCTAGGGTCACCGACTCTGTTTTGACATACCACTTGACCCATAGGCCAAAAGTATGCTACCACCTCATGCAGTAGCGGGGTTGCATATTGCATGCAAAGGAGGATTAGTATGTCAACAATGTGCGGTAGGATACTTCTTATATATTAAAATATATATATATATATATATATATCAGCAAAAAGAAGCATTACCATCAATGATTCAATGGCTCTCTCTTCACTCAGTCATGCCACTCCACTGAAAACTCATGGATTCTTGTTCAAATACCCCTTTGATTCTTCACCTTCACTCATTGCTTCTTTCTCACCGAAACCAAACCCTACCAGTTCCTGCATAATACCAAGCCACAACAAGTTGTTGGGCAAAATTATTCTTGATTCTTTGAAATGGAGGACCGGAGTTTCCTTCCTTTCAGGATTTCCTACGAAAGGTGAAGACATCAACAGCCTCAAGGAAGAGCTTTACAACACAATAGCTCCTCTTGATAGGGGTGCCGAAGCTACCCTGCAGGACAAAGAACGCGTAGAAGAGGTAAGGTACTATTTGAAATTTTCAATAGTGTTGCAGTCTTGCAGACGAGTGCGTAGCTAAGTTGGCTACGACAGTGTGCTCCCACTTGGCACCTGAAGTTAATCCCCAACCCCGTAGTTTAACTTTGATTAGAATATCGCTGCAATAGAACAGATTCATCCGTGTCCATTAACATTATGTGACCAAAACCAGAGAATTAAGTAGTTTCATTGTATCATATATGATGCTTTGGATTGGTAACGATTGATGTATTTATTCAGATTGCACGTAAGCTTGAGGCACTCAACGAAATAAAAGAACCTCTCAAGTCTAGCCTGTTAAATGGAAAATGGGAACTTATATATACAACATCTGAGTCAGTTCTGCAAACACAGGTAAGTATCTAAAGCATGCGATGGGTGATTTTTTTGTACTCTGTGGTTCGTTGTTTTCGTTCCTACATCTCCTCTTCAGTCTCTTCATCATATGTTCTTAATTTCAGAGGCCGAAGTTCTTACGACCAAATGGAAAGATCTATCAGGCAATCAATGTGGATACACTAAGGGCTCAGAATATCGAAACTTGGCCCTTCTTTAACCAGGTGTCACTTCCCATTGTTTGCCTTTTCAATCTCTTTCTTAATTAACTTATTTGCCTATCCATTTGATGCTTGGTAATGTGGATTCTAAGGGTGTAGAACGTGGCGAGTCAGTTGATCAATGCTCAAGTGTATTAATATTCACTGAATTCTGCTAAAAAGTTTTTTTATTAATGTTAAACAAGTATACCTAGTGTTTATGTGGTGTCGAAAATCATCTACTGAGGACATATTAAACATACTTATGTAATAGGATGTTAGTTGTTCAAATATCCATTGGTGTCAGAATTTGGGAGTTGAGTTGTAACTCTTTCGTTTTTAGTTTTTCATCTTCGTCGCAAATAAGAATCAAGAGAGTTTATACATAATCTTCGAAAACTCATTCCTTTCAATTGTTTAAGGGAGTTCGGACATGTCAGATAGCATCTATAGTTTGGTCTGATGTATAAGGGAGTCTATTCATTCGTTCCAGATGTGACCGGAGATTCTAGATTACAACTCAGCTAATTTCCTAGGCAAGATTCCAGTAGAGTTTTGTCTGATGCAAGCATAAGCTTCGGTTCAAATAACAGAAAAAAAATTGATCAAAGGTTTGTTGATATGATATGACTCTTGCACCATCAGGTCCACTTACGAAATCAGTAAGAGTCGATGGAAACTGTTTGGTGTATCAGATTGTATCGCTTTCTGCACATATATTGGTGGACATAATTGCAGTGTGTGATATTACATCTCATGTACTTTTGTATTGTCAAAAATGTCGAAACTCGAAAGGCTCATTGACCAAGCTGTTTTCTTGTAAGCGTGCAGGTTACAGCCAATTTAGTCCCTTTAAACTCCAGAAGGGTGGCAGTTAAATTTGATTTCTTCCGGATTGCTAGTCTGGTAAGTAGAGGATACATGATATGATATTCACTATATCCTCACGCCCTTAATCGTATTGATTCCAGTGTGCACTCTATGCGATTAGACACCATCGCACCTTGCTGCAGGAATCATACATTGTTGTCAGGTAGAAGAAACAGACTTTATGCGCGCATATAAGTATTTATTCCCGCCATTGTTTTCCAATGCTCTCACAGATACCTATAAAAAATCCTGGAAGCGGCCGCGGTCAGTTAGAAATTACATACTTGGACGAGGAGTTACGGTGAGTATCCTACGAACTTAATCTTTTGCAAGGGTTTGTAGTATACAAAACCTGCAAAATGCAGAGGGACTTGGTTTTTGTGGCATCAAATGTGGAAACTCTTGTGTCATAGTATTTCCTGATGTCAATTTTCGAGTACCAGTAACAGTTTTCTTCTAAAATTGCTCTCATAGCTTCATTAAGCTTAACTTTTGAATGACTAAATCTTTCTCTAGTTTTATGCTCCTCTTTCTCTCTAAAGGAGAGACTCTCATTCAACCGAGAGGTCAAAATGGCGGTACTCTAAGCCTATCCATTGCCCCGGTCATGTGTTTTATCTTTCTCACGCATGACATCACGTGATTGGTTTGGAATAACCATTACTTTAGTGTCCCGAGTTGTGTTTAAGTTTTTTTTCCTCAAAATTCTTTATATTACCAGCGTATTTTTTTCTAAAGTTTCATGGTGTGCTTCTAGTGAGTTATTTGTCTTCCTTTCTTTTTGCATGACAGAATATCAAGAGGCGATAGAGGGAACTTGTTCATATTGAAGATGGTTGATCCAACCTATAGGGTCCCGCTCTGATGTAGCATCTATAACAAAAACAATTGAATCACCATTGAGCCTAAAGCCTAAAGGAGTTTAGTGCGTAGACAAAGTGATGTTTCAAATGACTCTAACCTTTGAAGAGCGGGATTCAAACTTGCGTGTATGGCATGCACAAATACTATAACGAATAGAGGGATTCGAACTTAAGTGTATGACGGGCACACTATGTCAGACTTGGATGTTCCAATCGTTAGTATACAAGAGTTGTAAAATCTTTCTTGATTATTATTTTGTTTATCAAGTTTGGCCTTGGCCGGAATTTATACCTTAATTAGGGTAAATTCAATATTGTGAGCTATTATTAGAAACATTTCACTTTTCTAAAATAGGTCCAATTCGAATTCAAGCATATCGCCTCTCTTAGTCTTAATCTACAACCACAACAAGAAGCTTCAAAGTAATCTCAAGCTTTTAGAGTTCACAAGGTTCAATAGATTTTCATCCATCGATTTCACTTTGCAACGTCCAAGGATGCCAAGAATCACATTCTCAAGCTCAAAGACCTCCTAAATTTTCAAAGAGTAAGTGTTCAAAAGAAAAGGGATCGGAAAAAGGGTTAAACGATTCAATAAGTCATTTTGATGGTGAACTATGTTTGACTTTAATTTTAGTATGACACACTTAACTTATTCAATTGAATTGTATTAATGACATAAAGCATTTACTTTGCAAAGATTGGAGAGAAAATGCGGGTGCATTAGATGCTCCATTTGTTTATGTTTGCCTCTTGGTCATATTCATCCACCATTTAAACAGGTTTTCATTATTTTGGCTAGAATCTTCTTCGTTCTTTGCTTCTGATTGGATGTAACTGTTAAGATTTTGAATTGTTGAGTTTGTATGAATGTTGAATACTTTTATTAATCTCAACTTTTCTATGGGCCTACAAGTGAGGCACAAACCAAAATCCAAACCGTTTAAAACCAAATGATTTAGTTTCATTTAGGGGTGGGTTAGAAAAACTGAAAACCATAAAAAAGGGGACCGAAAACCGAACTGAGGTTGAAAAAACTGAACTGAATCTGTTAAACTGAACCGAACCGAACCAAATTTGGTTGGGTTGGTTTTGGTTTCTTAGGTTTGGAAACCGAACTGCTTCAAAAGAACGTCGTTTTGTAATGATTTTATTAATTAATAATCCTATTCTAGAAACGGCATCGTTCTACCCTTAAGCTTAGTAATTCTGCGAGGAAGATGAATTTCATTTAAACTCCTAATTCTCATTCGGCGTACATATCCAGAAACAATAATAGCCCTACGCGTATACCTCTCTCCCATTTTCCCAGTTCGCGCAGCCTGAGCCTCCTCTCTCTCTCTCTCTCTCTCGGTCTTCAATCACTCTCTCAAACTCTCCGTCTCTCATTCCCAGCAGCGACCCGCGACCCGCGACCCTTCTCACTCTCAACCTCTCGCACCTCGCCGTCAACTTCTTCTTGCCGTTTCGAGTGCCGACAGCAAAGGGTTAGTCTCACAATCTCACTTCTCTGTGTTTAATTTTCTGTTCAAATCGGACAAATAGTGGCCTTTACTGATTTTCAATTATTAATTTGCATTTTCTGTCGATAAACTTATACAAAAGACGCCATAGCTGTAGAAAGAAAAAAAAATTTTGAAATTTGAACCTTTGTCGTTAGACGCTGGCCCTTGATACCATGAAAGACAGTATAATATAGTTTGTAATCTCAACTCAATTAATATTTTCAAATTCTGTGGGCAAAAAAGGGGGTTATTTATATTTCGCATTTGGCCATCTGGGTCAGTTCAAGATTTGAAATTTATGGTTGTTTTTATGTGCAATGTGCATTTTTTGAGTGAAATATTAAGAGTATTAGTGTGCAATGTGCATTTTTTTAGATTTTAAGAATAGTAAAAACACACTAATTTACTATTCTTTTAGTTTGTTAAAACAAAATTTCAGACTTTGACTTATTTGAATTTTGAAGGGGTTTACTGCAAACTGCAAAGCAAATGGTGAGGTATTATATGAGTTGTCTGTCTGTTAGATATGTTAAACCAGAGTGCCCTTGTTTCTTCGAGTCAGATTTTGTGAGGGGATTTTAGTGTTCAGTGGATTTTACATATCATTTGATATATGTTTGATTTCATTTGGTTCAAGCATAGTCTTTTCGATATTCTTAAAAAGTTATAACAATGATCATTTGAATACAGAAAACATATATACAATCAGAACTAGACTAGAACTAGGAGTAGAACTTGGACTTGGATTAATCTTCAGTATTAGGCGTGTCCCTATTGGAGTGTGATTGTTCTGCACCAATTGGAATCAGAGTTGGTTTACCACGGTATACACCTGAAGTGGACCATTGGAGTCTTGCTGTAAAAGATGGGGAAGTATTAGAAAAGGAATGGGGGTCTGAAATTCCTATTCCCTGGGGAGGACCTCATAGGTCTGTTATGTCTTATTCTTACTGCATTTTTGTATCATTGGTTTGGTATGGTCTTATAACAATTCAAGATTCATACCAGTTTATCTTCAGAGCGAGAGAGTTAGAGGCAGAGGGAGAGAGTGAAAACTGAACGAAGCGTAAGGACCAAAAGCAAACAAGAAATGATGTTGACTGTGGAAGGAGTGACTGTAAAACTGCCATACTATTCATTCCCAATCCTACGAAGCCCTGTTCGCCGTGCCACTGTGAACTCGCGACCCTTTTCCGTATCTGCTTCGACTCTCAAAGATCAGTCGGAGACCCCTTCGGCTCCGCCCACATCCATTTCGCTCGGTCACTTGACCCGACCTGATTTTCCCATCCTCCATCAGGTTTGTCTCCACAAATATAGAGATGTTGATATATAATGTGTTACTTATTTGTACTTACCAAATGGGCATGACAGGAAGTAAATGGATCTAGGCTTGTTTACTTGGACAATGGTGCAACTTCCCAGAAGCCTACTGCAGTGTTAAAAGCTTTGCAGACTTACTATGAATGCCACAATTCAAACGTGCATCGTGGGATCCATTACTTAAGGTAGAGAATAGTCACTAACATAAATAACTAATTAGTTTGAATAGGTTTTAGATTTAGATTTGTATATTAACTAACTCATGTTAAATATTTAAGTTGGAGTTAGGTTCATCTTGCCTTCTATTGCTTACGGTTTCTTCATGTTGTCAACTTAGTGCAAAGGCAACAGAAGAATATGAGCTGGCGAGAAAGAAAGTTTCCAACTTTATCAATGCATCAGACTCCCGAGAAATTGTTTTTACTAGGAATGCCACCGAAGCTATCAATCTGGTTGCTTACTCATGGGGGCTACAAAACATAAAACCAAATGATGAGGTAGATAGAATTTCAGTGTATTATTTCCATTGTGTCCTTTATTTTATTTTTGTAAATTACTTTACAACACGTTCATAAAGGAATACACAATTGTGGCACTATTGTTCTTTTCTATTATTATTATTTATTTTATTTCTATAGTTACATGTTCTTTTGTGATGGTTTTCTTATTTTATAATCGAGTTTGGGAATTAACATCTCTGCTTACCTCCTTGATCTCATCTTGTACCAGTACTTGTTTCAAATAGCTTTACATGATCTATTCACCACATTATTCTGCAGATTGTTTGTGAATGGACTCTTAAGTGCAAGTACCATTGATCTTGTGCTTAATAAAATCTCTTTTCAGATCATACTTACAGTTGCTGAACATCATAGTGCAATCGTTCCTTGGCAACTTGTAGCTCAAAAGACTGGTGCAGTCTTGAAATATGTGGAATTAAATGAGCATGAAGTCCCTGATGTGGACAAGTTAAAAGATATGCTTTCAAGGAAGACAAAGCTCGTAGTTGTTCATCATGTCTCAAACGTGCTTGGTATGTTTCTCATCAGTTGTTTTCTTTCCTTCTTTATATATTATGCTCATAGTTGTTTTGTATAGGGAAGCTAAACTGGAAAACAAAGATTGCATGCAATGTCTTTCTTAATGACATTAGCGTTAGAATACTTTGGTTAATTAGTAAAGCTGTTGTGGTCCAATTGATTACTGAAGCTATTCTGATTCAACTCATAAAGAAAGAGTTTATGTGTTCCATGTTCAGTAATTACGTATTCCAGAAAAATCCATCCTGTTATTCTAGTGTTATCCATTTGTACTGGCAGTTTCACTAGTAAGGAGGATATGGTTAAACGTATAGATGTCTGATTGGGTTACTCAATTCTGAACACATATCAGTAGGTGTTTTACTGGTGATGTCAACTACCTCTCATCATATTTGCTTGAAATCTGGTGTCTAACAGTTATAGATGTATTGTTGCTTTGGTTTTGACCCGAACATCTAAACTGGATAAGCACTGTTTTGTGCAACGGACCATCATGGGTCTACTACTAACTCCTATCCACATCACTTTACCACCTAGGTCCAGTACCTCTGGTGAGGTTCGGTCAATGGATATATTCAGGTTTGCGTTGTATCTTAAAATGCCTCAGTGCTATTTGTATGGACCACCTCGTTTTAACGTTTAGATTGTTATAACACTTCTCCAATATGGGATACACATACATGGCTTGTATGGAGCCACACAGCCCCAACACATTGCAAAGTAAAGTTTCTCTTGGGTGGTTCTTAGATAGGTGGGATGTGCTTCTCTACTAATTAATACAGTAGGTGTCCATAGCGGAGAAGAAGTTTCTGATTCTATGGTTTGCTTTTCAACCTGTTTGTTCTAGTGTCCATAGCTTATGTTCCACAATCTCTAGAAGTAGTAGAGATTTGTAGTCCATACTAGATGACTCATGAGACGTTCATGTACGTTTGATTCCTGCCTGCTCATGCTTTGGTTATACCAACTTTATTCATGACACTTGTGCTTTAGTTATACCAACCTGACACAGGCCACTGTTGTACGTTGTATCTTATCTGCTGGAGACTAATAAGTTTCATATAATCAAATAAACAATTTTTTTCTTTCTTTCTAATTATGTTTCAAATGCATCAAATTATTATTTGAGTAAACACTTTGTATTATAATAGATTATGGATTTTGTCTCAGAGAAAGCAAATAACAAATTGCGGGACCATATTGATGCGTTCATAATTTTTCTCATGCAGGTTCTGTTCTTCCTATCAAAGATATTGTGCTTTGTGCTCATGATGTTGGGGCAAAAGTGCTTGTAGATGCTTGTCAGAGTGTTCCACATATGGTGGTTGATGTCCAGAATCTGAACGCCGACTTTCTTGTTGCTTCTTCTCACAAGGTTAGGAGAGTTGCTTATGTACTGAAATCTACCCTTATTTGCAAGTGTATAAAGTAAATATTAAACATGCCTCAGATGTGTGGGCCTACAGGCGTCGGATTCCTATATGGAAAGAGTGATATCCTGTCTGCCATGCCTCCATTTTTAGGTAATTTTCTTATTTAAAGGTTAGTCTTCTGAATGTGATGTTTGGTTTGTATAACTATATCTACGAGGGCAATGGCTTATGTGTTTTCTCACTATATTATTTTGCTTCTTTTTCTAGGTGGTGGGGAAATGATCTCTGATGTATTTTATGATCATTCCACTTACCAAGAACCTCCATCTAGGTTGGTGAATTCGCCTACCTATTGAAAAGCTTTTTGTTTAAATTAAATGCAGTGATGAGAGCAGCTTTGTATACCATGTTGATGTTATTGTCCAAACTGTCTCCTGTTTAAGGTGTTATCTTGATAGTAATATTTGAATACGCCAAATCATGGTCGCAAGAATATCTAGACTGTAAATAACAAGTAGAATGCTACAATTTGGTTATTATTAGCACTGATATATCTCATGAATTCATTTTCAAAATATATCAAGACTGTAAATAACTGTCTCCTGTTTAAGTTGTTATCTTGATAGTTGAATTTGAATACGCCAAATCATGGTCGCAAGAATATCAAGATTGTAAATAACAAGTTGAATGCTACAATTTGGTTATTATTAGCCGTGATATATCTCATGAATTCATTTTCAAAATATATCTCAAATTGATAGCCCTTTTAATACCTGTAGAAAATGTAGGAAACTAGGAATTACCTATATATGACAGAAGATGCTTGTGGAATTTGTACCGAAGTAGTAAAGTAGGTCTTATGTTTTAGTCAATAAAAGTGATCTTCAATTGTTTGGTTACATGCAAGTGCGTACAATAATTCTAGCTGCACTCTACACTTGGCCCTTGTTTTACGGTAATATGCCCTTATCCTGTTTCGACCATAATGGAATTTCAGTTTTTCCTCGTATTTTTTTTCCGTGAAATATATTGGTCCTTATCCACATGAGTTATACAATAGTGGGCTACTTTCTGATGTCTTTTTGTAATTGTCCCTCATTAACTGAACTAGGTTTGAGGCTGGAACACCAGCAATTGGGGAAGCAATTGGGCTAGCAGCAGCTATTGATTATTTGTCAGGACTTGGTATGCAAAGGATACATGATTATGAGGTAAGTTGGATTCTTCGGCCTTTTGAATTTCCTGTTCTTTTCAACTGGTTTAGACTCTTCTGTTGTGTGGGTTTTTGTTTTGTTTTAGGTTGTAAGTACATATTAGAGAGAGAGTGGAAAATAGTTGTATTGCAAAGACATGGCTATTATATATAGGACCTTAAGACATAAATCTGTTCTGGAGTTAAGCCTTTTGCTATGCTAATCATACAAGAATTAAGCTGATCAGAAAATTGTAATCAACTTAAGTCTTGAGCTAATTACACAATTGGACAATTCAAGCTGGTGTTGGCATACAAGGGGGTTCTCTGTGAAACATCTCCCAGGAGAAAAGAGCAAAAAGATTTATCTTTAATAAAGTGCGAAAAGAAAGGTTCCCAGAAGTAAGAAATGCAGGGACCACCAGGTGGCTTAAAAAACAGATGAAAGCTTCTTCCAAACAAAGGGTAATGAAAAAAAAGAAGTGAAAGTGAGCAGAAATGGAAGTAACTAAGACAAATAATAGTAAATTAGGCTAGGATCTCTGGTCGAACCTTATTATGGTAAAAAAATGCGACTTTATTTTCTTTTTGGGTGGTTCCCTCTTGAAATCTTAAATGCTTAGTTTAATGACTTGAATGCCGATTCTGAACGTTAGATTTTTCCTTTATGTAAATATCAGTAACGTCATTGTAATTGCCATGTTTCTCTTGTCTGTTTTCTTCTCGAACTTTGACATATATAACTTTTATACTACATTTCTTTCGTCGTTATATAAATTATGAATAGTAAGTGTCATTTTTACTATTTTCTGTACTTGTATGGGAGTGTAGTTGGGGTGGTTTTCAGTTGAAAAGTCTCTAGAGACCTTAAATATACCTTAAGAAGAAAAGAACCAGTGAGCTTCTTTAGAGACTGAAAGGTCGATGCCTGACGTGTGACAATTATTTAGTGCTCAATTACTAAACCGCTCTTGTTTGCAATTTTCACAGATGTTTCTTGGTAAATATCTATACGAGAGCCTTCAATCTGTCCCCAATATTCGCATTTATGGTCCAGCCCCTTCAGAACACATCTTCCGGGCTGCCCTATGTTCTTTCAACGTTGAGAATATACACCCTACAGATCTGGCAACTTTTCTTGACCAACAGGTATGAAAACAAACCGTGCTTAGTTTCCCGTACTTTGTAATACAAGTGAGCTTCAACAAAATAGCTGATGCGAACTTATGTACTGCCAGCACGGAGTGGCTATCCGATCAGGTCACCATTGCGCCCAACCTCTTCATCGGCAGTTAGGAGTCAGCGCGAGTGCACGTGCAAGTCTTCACTTGTACAACACCGTAGAGGATGTCGATGACTTGATCCGGGCACTCAACGACACAGTCAGCTTCTTCAATTCTTTTAAGTAGAGCTTTGTACTCTTGCCAGCCTACTGTAAATTTTGTATCACCTATTTATTCTACTGTACTCTCTAAGCTTACAAGTTAAAGAGTATCGTTTGTGCAATTATTTGGTAAGACTTAAGAGGGATTCTTTCTTTGAATTCAATACTTGTATTCCCTTGATCAGCAGCATAAATCTGAAGGTAAGCTGAGAAAAATAGTTTTAATTCAATCCTGATTGTTCCGTACTATTGAGTCGTCTGGACTATTGAAGAAAAATTGCGACTGCTATTATCGTTTGTTCGGTTACATGTAAAGACTTTAGAGGGATTCTTATTTTCGAATCAAACGACTTTAGAGGGATTCTTATTTTCGAATCAAACCAGGAATTTGTGCCCGCGCGTTGCTTTGGGATTGAAAATTGTATGAAAAATTATGTTTGAAAGATACGAAAGATTGTGCTGCAACATGTTAATATATCCTTCGCGTAATTTGCTCGAAGTAAAGGACATGAAAATCTCAGTCACAATGAAAGGGAAATAGTTGTGTAAAACAACCCAGGAAAAAGATACTAACTTTAGAATCAATTCAAGTATATTAGCAACGCGTGTGCGCTTAACAGAGGAAAACTAATTGAAAGCAAACCCGCAATTCTTCCAACTTTTGGTTTAAAGAGAAAAGATCAAATGTTCTGCATCCAAAATAGGTGTGGCTTCTTTATAGTTCTAATAAGTGTTTGATACATTAAATTTAAGACAACCTCGCAAAACCCTTCCCTTTATTTTGTAGAAAGAGCAAACTTTGAATCAAATGGCATTTCAAAACCCATGTTTGAACAAAGAATTTTAATATGGAATAATTACTTTAAAGACATAAAAATTGTAACAATCCAACCCAACTCAGAATTCCAATTCCCACACCGAAAAAAAAAAAAAAAAAGAGCCGAAGAAATACAGTGGGTTATCATGAGAGAGAGAGAGAGAGACGAAATCTTTACCAACTAACAAATGAAGTAAATCATGTTATTTATATTTATGAGTTTTTAAGGCATTAAAAACTTATTTTTGAGTGTTATGTTCATGTGGCACTTGATGAGTCGGGAAGGTAAATTGGGGAAGGTAAACGAGTAAGGTTGCTAACCTTACCCAAATTTAGTTCCTAAACTAATACCATAACAGTTAACGACCTAGCTTACGAAAAAGGCCACATGTCCTCGTGAGGAGTACTAACTCAATTTTAGAGTAGTGCGCAAATGACTTGTAGTTTAGTTGGTTAAGAGTATTCGTTTTTGCATTCAAGATCCCATCTTCAAATCCTCCTCTTTATAGTTTAATATGGATATTCTATCGCTTGTCAAAAAAATTTAGAGTATTTCTATTTAAATTAGACATTTATTCAAGTTAACCTAGCACTCTGCACTTAAATTTGAATATTTTTTCTCATAATTTAGATAAAGAGATATTTGTTGATTTGCTTCCTGAATTTATATACAGCTGTCAATTAGGGTAATCGGCTAAAATTAAAGTTTAAAAGGAGAATTGACAACTCCATACAAATTTAGAGAACAAATCGACATATATAGCTCTAGGTAAAATTAATGAAAAATATCGTTTGTATCAAAACAAAATACAAAATAAAAGACCAATATATGAAATAGTAAGTGAATAACTACCAATGGACCACTGGCCCCGCCCAACCACCTGCACCCAGTGGCCCAACCACATCGAGACGACCTACCTTGTGTTTTTTGTTCAGCAAATGCCACGTACTTGAAAAATATCGCAAGCATTCACAAATATTTCAGCTTTTTGCAAGCATTGCCTCTGTTTGCGTTGTATTATATAACTTGCACTACCACATCCACATATAAAATCTAATATAATATTATTTTTTAGTACATTAATATTTTTATATTAAGAGAAGGGGACGTTTGGTTAATCCACATAATGAACAGTCTAATTTGATATCGAATTAGCCATCCATAAGATTTGAACCTAAAACCTTTCACTTCCAAATGAAAAAGATATCACCAGATCGTAGTACTAAATGGTAAAATCTAATATAATTTTATAACTTATAACTTCCATCTTTTGAAATAGAGATACCTTTAATTATAAGGAGTTTTAAATAAACATTCTTAGAGTTTTAACGAAAAAAATATTTTTACTAATTAATTATAATTATATGAATCAAAGTGTCACTTTGAGAAGTTTCCTAATTGTTAGTGTGATAAAATGTGATCAATTTACTAATTAATCATTTAAGCTTAAAATATATAACTTCTAGAAACATCAGTTGGAGTTGCGTTTTAGGCAGTTCTCTTCTCTTCGGACTTTCTCTGGCGGCAAAATCCACGTATCAACACCAACGTGTTTCCAAACGACAAACCAAGAAAACAATATAAAAATAGTTCAAAAGACAAAAGAAAAAGAGTGAAAATATATCTTAGCTTTTATCTTCTTTTACAATTGCTATCAATATTAAGTAGTATGGCTTGATATAAAGTAAAATTGAAGCGTTTTTAAGATAACTAAAGATGTTTTTTTATGAAAATATTTTGAAACACATCGGGCGAATTCAAGTGGATTTTGATAAAAATATTTTAAGTACTTCCGGCAAAAATCGTATATCTAGTCATTCCTAAAGTATTTTTAGAATCAAAATCAATTTTAACAAAAACGCTTTCAAAATAATTAAAGCATCTGTGGCACTTTATAATTTAAAAATAAGTGATTAAAATTAAAAATAAAGATTTATTCACAAAAATCAAATTTAAAAGTTAAAATAATTCTTCGAGTAAGTGCTACATAATATTGATCGGGACTTTGATTTTTTTTTTTTTAAATGGAAAAATTAAAATTTGTTGCCAGACAAAAAGAGACGTGAAAAAGATGAAGCTACAGAAGCTTTTCAACAGGAAACCAAGGGGAGCCTCTTGTTCTTCTTCCCCACCACTCATGGCTTCCTTCTCCTCTCTCCTCCACCCCCACCAACTCCACCTCCCCTTCTCCTCCCCCAACCCTAACCCTAATCTCCTCCACCGCTACTCCATTCCTGTTCGCCCCCTATCCCTAACCCACTCCGTCTCCCCTCACTCCACCCCCAACTCCGACACCAACGAAACCTCATCATCTTCCTCCTCCTCTTCCGCGCCTCCTCCTCCTCCTCCTACTCCTACCAAGAAGTCCTTCGCTGTCGCCACGGGGGAGCTCTTTCTGGGCTTGGCTTCTAGGATTATCAAGCGCCGGAATGGAGACCCAGACGGCAAGGCGGCGGCCTCTTCGGTCGCCATATTTGAGAGTTCCGGTAAGTACTTGGAAGAGAGAATTGGGAAGTTAATGGAGGATGATATTCAGCCGGAGGTTATTTGGGAGCAGCGCGTCAAGGATGTGGAGGCCGAGAAAGAGCGGCGCGTCGTTACTAGTCCCGGCTTTAGCTTCTCCGCCGCCGGACTTCTTTTTCCTTATCATTTAGGCGCCGCTAAGTTCCTTATTCAGAATGGTTATATCAAGGTATGTCCCTTATCAATTTTCTCTCATTTTCTTCAATAAATTTATGTTCTTTGTTTTTGATTTTGCGCATTTGTGTATCGGTAAAGCATTAGAAACGAACACTTAAATTAATACTTTCATCTCAAATTTTGGGTTACTGGTATCTTAGAAGAACAGTCATTATCTTTTATTCTGTGTCTGTAATCTGTATTCAGAAGTAGGATGTGTGTTGTTTGTGCAGGAAACTACACCATTAGCCGGTTCCTCAGCGGGCGCAATTGTCTGTGCTGTGGTTGCCTCTGGAGCCAGCATGGAAGAGGCTTTACTAGCAACCAAAATACTTGCTGAAGATTGCCGGAACAGAGGGACTGCTTTTCGACTTGGGGTATATTTTTATACTCTTGTTACTTGTACCGCAATCCGATGACTAGTACATTTGCTTCTCTTTTGAACTTGTGATACTTCATGATCAGTTTTTAAATGTAGGTACGCACCAAATTACAACCATTCATGCTTTTTTCTTCTATATTGTAATGTTGAACTCCTATTCTGTGCCATGAGGATCATCATATCGGTACAGAAGATTTCTCTTGCAAAACAGTCTGTCATATTGATTTTTCAGACTGCAAATCTGGACTATATGTGTGGCCCAAATTCATTGATGCATCACACCGGAACGTTACTCAGTACACCAATAGCTACAAATGTATATGAAAGTGGAATCCATGTTATCTGCTCACATTAGAGTTAAGAAATATGTGCATGCTAGAATATATCTTAAAATTCTTTGAAAGGGGATTTGAGATTAAGATATTGTTCCTTCTTGGTAATGTAACATGTAATCTTGTATAATTTGTTCTTTAAGGTGTTGTGATACTCATATATGTCGCATACATGTAAACCAGTACGGTATTTTCTACTAGCAATTCACTTAAAAGTTTAATTTATGATAGACTTTGATATCAATTCATTAACTCGAGATTTGTTTCGGATTCACTTGAAGCTGTGAATTTGATTTTAGGTAGTGGTCTGTCATAGGTTAATCTTTCAATCAATTTTGTTATCTGATCAAGTATATTTGATGGACTTTAGTTTTACATTGATGCTACACATTTGTGCAACTTTTTTTAATATGATGTAAACCAAAATCTTTGTCTAAGAAAGAGCCCAAGGACTTTCACAGATATTTCCTCTATTCATCAAATCTTAGCCTTAATGACAAAGACTTATATTAGAATTTTTTATTTATAAACATTTATGGGTTATTGCTTTATTTTACCTCATTCTGGTAGAATTTCATTGTTAGATTGCCTATGGGCATAGGAAATAACTGGATCTCAGTTTTGGCATATTGATATTTCCCTTCTTCTCTCCAAGCCGCTCATTTCTGTCTCTTCTGTGTGCTCTCTCATTTCCTCTATTCTTCTTTGATACAATAGAATCTCATTAAAAATTTGACTACCTTGATTACCTTATGGTTTATTAATTAGCTCAATTTGTTTGTATTGCTGGTTTTGTGCCTTGAAGTTCCTCTGAATAAACCTACGTAATGTGGTCACTAGTACAATGTTTTCTTCTTCTTTGTAATTTTTATTTTAATATTATCCTGTTTCTTTCTCCTCTTTTATAGTTTTCCCTCTCCTATGTCACTTAACTTATCCACTTTTTACTTGTGTAGGCTGTTCTTCGAGACGTTCTTCAAAAGTTTTTGCCTGACGATGCTCATATCAAGTCTAATGGGAGGGTTCGAGGTAAGTGGGTTTTATACGCTCCCTACACAAAAAAGAATATTATATAGTTGAGAAATATCCTTCTTTATTTTTTTCTTTCTAGAGTTTACTTAAGTTTGTCTAGGTCCATCTGCAATAAATATAGTTTGTGGAGTTGAGTTTACAAATTTTCGGTATAGGTATTTAGATATGCCTATTAATATCAAGATCTGTCAAATGTGACTATTTATTGGTGCTTATGATTGGGTAGGATTGCTTCCTGTAATCTATTTGATACCATTCATTCTGTGATGTTTTCATTGTAACCGAAGTAGGTATGGGTTTCATTCAAATTTAATTGGCCAACCACTTTTGAGGTGTTTGAACTGTGAATGACCTGTGCCTATTGGGCATATCACAAATGCAAATGGCTGCTGTCTCTCACTAAACCAAACATTAACAATTTAACAAAAACTGCGACAAATGAAAATATTATCTACAAAAGAAAATTTAAGGAAGCTGTTAACGGCACTCCAAACAAAAATATATGGGAGAGAAGATACACATTGGAGGAGTGCACGATGACTTTTTTGTAGTGTCTAAGAGCACCCAAATATAATTATTATATTCAACATGAAACTAGACTAAGCTCCTTGTTAACTGGTTATTTTTCTTGCACTTTCACGGTCTTACCACCCCAACCTTCCCTTCCCAAAGACCTATTGCTGACTTGTGGCCCCAGAGTTTGTGTAGTGATTGCGGGATTAAAGAGTTTGAGAAGGGTTTTCTGGGCATAGTGGCCTGTTAAAGACAGAGCTTGGTATGAAATATGACATGTATTTGAGTTAATTTTCCCACTTAGTGAATATGTCTAAAATTACTGTATTTCATTCTGATGAAGTTTGTTGGCTTACCGCTATTCCTAAAAGCTCAAGTTGTTAGGATTACTGTATTTCATTCTGACAAAGTTTGTTATATTCTAACACTGTCCTCACATGTGAACCTCTTAATGGGCCTAACAAGTGTAGTTGAACAAACGTTGAGAGGTTGCAATTTTAGGAATCCATACCTGGGATCTCCTGCTTAGATGGTGTGATTTCTTTGTTTGTCTATAATCCTAACTCACATGTTTATGACTTCTGGGTTTCATGGCGTAACATGTAGGGACGATTTATTTCACCACTTTGGTTATTTCTGTTTAAACATATTTGTTTTCTTTTGCTCGTCTAAAATAAATTTGTATTATTCTTGTGTCTGCAACAAAACCCCAAGCTTATGGTATTTTTGATATTGTGCCACAGTTGCAGTAACACAGCTTCTCTGGAGACCGAGGGGTTTATTGGTGGATCAGTTTGACTCCAAGGAGGATCTCATTGATGCTGTTTTTACTTCTTCCTTTATTCCAGGGTAATTATTGTGTACCATTTTTGTCTTGCAGTTGCTGCTGTATTGATTAATATATGAAGCTTGAACTAAAAGTGTACTGCAGTACAGATATCTTGCTCCAAGACCAGCAACGATGTTCCGGAATCGGCTTTGCATTGATGGGGGCTTGACATTATTCATGCCACCAACTTCTGCAACACAAACGGTACTATCCTTAAATGATGAGACCTTATAATTGTTTGTTTCCTTTCATAATAATTCGGGGTATCGGTATTGTATAATCGCTGTAATTCCTAGATGAAACTCTTTTTGGTATGCTCCTGATAATGGTATCTTTACAGGTACGAGTTTGTGCTTTCCCAGCCAGTCGATTAGGGTTTTTTGGAGAAATCGGGATCAATCCAGACTGTAATCCTGATAATAGGGCTACCCCTCGACAGGTAAATTTGTACTTCTGCATTTGAACGATAACTCATCATTTAAGAATAAGATGACGAGCATCTGTTCCCAACTATTTCAGCTTTTCAATTGGGCACTTGAGCCAGCCGAGGATGATGTTCTTGACCGGCTCTTTGAGCTTGGATATAAAGATGCAGCGGTATGGGCTATGGAAAATCCCGTCGACCAAATAGTTAAAGATGACACTTCTTTGGCTGGCTTAGTTCAGTAAACCGGCGTAGAGACCCCCTACTTGCTGACCTTGAAGATGCATAACATTCTTGGTTAGTGTCAATTACTGAGAATCTTGTTATATCTTTTCGCATACAGGTCAGACCGACTAGTTTTCGTATAGAATAGTACAGCCCTTGATAATTAAGGGGTGGAACCACATTATCTTTGATAAATGTAGCATTGTTGCAATTGTATAGCACGTCATAAAATGTATTGAAACACCGTACGAGTACGAGAAATGGAAAAAGAAAAGAGTAAGGTAACTGAAAACGGTTCACGAATCGCTCTTTGGTTTTAAATTCAAGTTACTAAGAGAATGTAAATTTTCAGAAGCCCTGAACGTGATGCTAGCTACCTACTAATGACTCGTTCATGGACTCTACGATACTTGAAGTGTTTTCTGAAAGAAGCGCATAAAGCACTTCAAGTGCTTTCGATGCTGTGATTGCTAAAACCTTTTTTAGTTATTTGAAAATCGCTTTTAAACAAGTCCTATATCTGTAGAAGTAAAATGCAAGTGGTTCCTGCAGAAACTGATTTGCCTACAAATTGCCCTAAATCATAAAGAGGAGCTAGGGTTTAGGCAGCTGACCTAACCCTAATTAAACAATTACCTACCAATTTATTCTAGAACTAGCTTTTGATTTATTGAGTGCCTGTGAAGTATGTTCTAAAGCTCCTTTTCAAGACGTACATACCGTTGTTATACATGCATTATTAGTTAATGAATACAAATTTCCAAAGCCATAGCAATCTCGAGTTAATTGGTGGACGTCGTCTCTGTTCAAATTTGTTTGAGAATAGGATCCCACATCGGTCCTTACGTGTTAATATCACCAAGACCTTGTTATGATAAAAATAAAACCTAGTAATAGGTTGTTAAATTCGGATAATATCAGTTGTGCTAGTGGTAATGAAAAATATAAAGAAAAGTATTATTAGATATTTGATTTAGTTAAGTATTTGATTGCATTGGATTTAATTTGGCGTAGGTTTTCCTTGTCTTGCCCTAATTTCATTAGCAGTGTTGTGTAAATCTGATGAGATAAAAAAGACGTTTCCTCTTGGAACTTATATTACTTGAAGAACAAGTTTCTGTCTCTATAAATAAAGACACGAGCAATGAAAAATAACACTCACAAATTCCTCAATCCTTCTCTTCTCTCTCGCTCTCTTAAGTTACGTTGAACCCGATCAACCAAATACGATGGCGACTAAATGTGAAGGCGCCGAGGGGTCCGATACAGTGAACCGGATTGCAGGTCGTGACGAAGAAGTTGCTCCTCCTGCTATGGAGGCAAAGGAGAAAAAGGCAGTAGGGGAGGTAGCAGAATTTCTGCTTCTATTGATGCTATGGAGTAGAAATGAAATAAAAATCCACCAACGTGAAAACCAGAGAAGAATCAAGGGCCGGATTTCATGAAAAACATGAACGGAATTTTTTGATTGGGAATCAGATGAATTTGCATAACAAAAAGTTAGAGTAAGATTCTCTCTCGTTCTATTCTTATTCTTGAAGGAGCTCAAGGATTTGCAGGTTGTGTGTGTTTGTAGGTGTTGTCATGGCATCTAAACGCATCTTGAAGGAGCTCAAGGATTTGCAGAAGGACCCCCTTCCTCATGCAGTGCTGGTATTTGCTCAGAAGGATTTGCTGGTGATATGTGTTTTGGGTACTTGGAAAACAACAACATATTTTGTTAAAAGCAGCATGCATATCTTTTGTTAAAAGCTGCAGCATGTATGTATTTTGGTTACTTGGACAAATTGCTTCTTACTGAAAGCAAAACAGTAGCATGCATATATTTCGGCTATTTGGACAATCTGTTTTTTACTGAAACCAACTTGCATTTGAATATTTTGTGAACTTGGATATGTGGTTGGATTAATCTATATAATGTAACGATTGTGGTTGTGTTTTGCGAACCTTCTTTTATGTTATCGGAAAAGATTTTGAATTTGATGTATGAAATTTACTACTTTTCTTTGTTATTTGAAAATTTGTGTGGTTTTGAATAGGTATAAATATGAGAAAAGTTCAACAATCAAACAAAGATTTGTCAAATTTTTTTTCTTCCATTTTCTTGCTTGGTTTAGTACCAAACACAGTATAAATAATACGGTCATTAGTCCGATACTGTACCAACCACTCGACTAATTTAATCAGTACTATCCGATGACTATTTATCCTATTCAACAGAAATAGTCAGTACAGTCTGATCTGCCAAACGAGGTCGTGGCTGTGATCGGAATAGACAGCCATAGCTGCAATTTGAAATCTGCATCTTTGGTCCCATGTTAAAGGAACACAACAAAAAAGGAAAAAAAAAAAAGATGAACTTGGAATTTCGCAACCCGCTCTGTATAACATATAGAAAATTTATTTAAGCTCGAATGAATAATTCTCATTGATACGATGAAAATATATACATGAGTATTTCTTGTACAATAAGCAAATCCTACTATCTAGAAATACAATATCAATTATATAATATCGTCCTAAACGAATCCATTAACTTTCTAACATATGTACTTAAATTTTTTAGTATATTATGGTATTAGCTTGTGGTACATCTTCCAATTAATAGCTGATGCATTATTTTTCTTCTTAGTTACATGGTGAAAATCTTTGATGTATAATAGTCGGACTATATGTTGGAAATCACGCACTGCAGGTTTGACAAAACATATATTGATTTATATACAAATAGTTTCATTTTACATTAAAGTCTTTTAGGATAAAATCTCACATCTATTGGACCACATGTGGTTAAGTTAGAATCAATATTGCTGTAGGGTTATTCTACTCATCTCTCTGAAACTTTAATATGACATCAGAGCTATTTTTCTAGGCCCAAATATTGGGTTTGTACTTTTTTTGGATACCATTATTGGTTTGTTTCGAGTGCGTAATATTCACTGTCAAATAATTAGAGAAACAGGCCACAGGCCACTCCTAACTATTGGATTTATAAAAAAAGGTCGCGGTGTTTTTAAGAGTGAATTCATACACTTATTATACCTTATTTTCTTAATCTTCTGATTTGGGACTTATATTTAACACGCCCCCTTCCATGTGACCAAAACATAGTGGGCCACAAGTGCAGCTGATCCCACATCCGAGATTAAGTGTGGAAGCATGGTATTACATTAATCACAATAACTCAAGCATGACACCCACATGACTCATAATCGAACCTGCTTTGGTACCATGTCTGATCATCAAGGAGACCAGTCACTGGCCCACTCCTAACCACACCAATATTATCCTAACTTAATCACTTATTACTGGTTGTTGAGTTTTATCACAAAGACGTCTCTATTTTTTGGAGTGAACTCATATACTCATATATTGTTTATTCTCTGATGTGGGACTTATATCCAACATTCATGTGCTTGTCTTTCCATTCCCAATGTTGAAGTTCTCTTCACATGTGGCCGGCTGGAGATATGGTTCCACGTGAGGTAGCGCGGAAATCCCACATTGGAGATTTAACAAAATATTACAAATTATATACAATAGTTTTATCCTAAGTACGCCGAGGTCTTAAGGAAAAAATCTTACATCTCTTCGACTACAAATGGTTAACTTGGGAACAACATTGATGTTGAATCATTAAGCTCGCCTTTCTAAAATTTTGACAATATATAATAATAATATTGTAAGAAATTTGTAACTCAATTGGTTATAAAAATATTTCATATGCATTGATTGAGTTCAATTTCACCACACTAGTGCTTGTATAAAAATAAAGAAAAACAACTATATTTTATCTTTATCAATACCCTAAGCTGTGAAGAATATGTCGGCAGAGCCGCAGAGATCAACCAGGGATCTCATCATAATGTCGACTATATATACTGCTTGTGAACATTTATGCGAGGACCAGTACAAAACCACCTACAAAATTAACGGAATACTTAATTGTGTCCACATGCATGCCTTGATACTATGTTATGCTTTAATGTTGTGAAATGCATAAAAATCTGGCTTACTTGGTCTCACTGATTAGGATTCTCTTTTCTCTTCCCTTCATCATTTTTCATCATCTTTTTTCATATTTTTAAATTTTGCCTTTCTTTTTTTTTTTTCAATAAAAAATTAATATAAGATGTTGATGTGGTTTAATCATGACCATTCAAATAGGAGAGGAGGAAAAGAAAGGAGAAAAAAGGGGAGAGAAAATCCTATTCCCACTGATTAGGATAGTTATACAAAGAGTCAACAGGATGCCCCACAAGTTGAAAGGCTGAGGTACAAAATTGCCGAAGATAATCTTCAGAAACTTTGTACTGTGACTATGTTACTAATTCATGTAATTTTGTAGGCTGTATAAATAACATGATAAATGATTAATTTGAAACTTAAGATTGATATAATAAATAAGTATGTATGTGTTATAGTTGTAAGTAATGGTAACTCTAGCTACTTGGTGAAGTTAGAGGCTGCTAATCAATCCATTAGATTGTTAACAAGTATCCTGTTTAATTTGATATCGCTAAAATATAACGGTTCGATTGTTAACGAGTACCCTGTTTAATAAAAAGTTAGAGTAGAATTCTATCTCGTTCTATATGTGTGTTTGTATGTGTTGTCATGGCATCTAAACGCATCTTGAAGGAGCTCAAGGATTTGCAGAAGGACCCCCTACCTCATGCGGTGCTGGCATTTGCTCCTTTTCCTTGAACAAATCCCTTGTCTTTTTATTAAATTTGGATCCCATATATAAAATTCTCTTAGAATTGTAGATGGTAGTTCTAATTGCAGCTAATTAGCGGGGTTTTCTTCGATGATTTCAACTGTTTGCAGCTCAGATTTTTAGGCAAAAATTGGCCCTTTTCATCAATTGAACAGAAAAGAAAAAAACTGAAATTTTAACCCTTTGCTTTATCAATTAGGAAATACAGATGTAGCAAATTTGTGGATGGTACACATAGAAAAACCGGGTCCTCATGTTTCCATATGTTGTTGTGGTCATGTTCCTCCATACAGTATCATTATTGAAACATGAGCTTTTGTGAGTCATATAATGGGTGAAATATGGATACCTGCAAATGGTCTTTAGTTATCTATTCATACATGCAGCTGATATATGTTTTGGTACTTGGAAAACAACAAGAATATATTTTGTTAAAAGCAGCATGCATATCTTTTGTTGAAAGTTGCAGCATGTATATATTTTGGCTACTAGGACAAATTGCTTTTTACTGAAAGCAAAGCAGCAATATGCATATATTTTGGCTATCTGGACAATCTGTTTTTTACTGAAACCAACTTGCATT